TTAACATCTTTGCATTGCGCAGTGAACCGAGCTACATGTTCTAATTAAGACATGGACGATTCTCCAGCAAAAAGGCTGAAGTCTGGGATTTTAAAGCCTTTATGATATTCGATTTTTTCTACATAAGCTGGGTATGGATTGATGAATTTTGGGAACTTCGACCCCTTTTTCAGGGCCGAATCGATCATTCTTTGGACCTCAACCATATCGACGGATGCCGTTTCTGCTCCTCGGTCAAATTCATCCTCCTTGCTGCTTGATCCACTTCTTTTTTCCATATCAATCATTTTGAGCCGAGCAGATCCTGTCTAGGCCGGTAATGCCAGTATTGGATTGTTCTTTGGAATAGCTTGTCTAGATTAATCAGTATGTCCAATATTCTGGGTATTACTACCCAGGACCTTGAGCAATCTAGTGTGCATGGCGCTATAACCACAAACTTCTTCGAGTATCCCTTTTATTTATTGGCTAAACATTTGCTCAAACTGCCGAGATTTCTCATTAAGATGTCTTCAGAAAAACGACCTAGTTGGTGGATCAGATGCTTCACCACCGTCCTCGTCACAATCCTTTACTATTCATTCGACAAAAATTCCTTTTGTCACTCTGGCGGTGATCTCCGCATCATGAGCCTGTCTGCTGAGACTGACTTCTTTTTCTCGGCGTGTCGCACTTGTGGCTTCAGGTGTGATGGCAACAGGAGGATTATGTGTCTGTGACAAACCATCATGATCTAGGTTTGGACCATCGGTGGAATGTTAGTCATGGACTTTCCCATGACTGTTTTCCTTTTAGCCGATCGTGTCTCAATAGTCATGAACTTCGTACTTTTAGCACTGGGTCCCATCGAGAGTGCCAAAATGTTCACCCTAAAAACTACCAAACCTACATGGCATGCATGCCGAGTAATCAATAAGCTAATTACATCCTTCGTTGTGTGTGGGGCGTGCCAACTCGTCGGTTTCGCGTAGAGCGAAAGTTTGCACAGGGTAGTTTGTGTGTTGAATTGGAAAAAGCTGGAATGATTCACACCATTTCCTATTTATAGCAATCTCTCATAGCCGAGCTAGAACCACTCTTAGATTAGGATTCCTCAACCTAATCTAACTAGGACTTGGCCAATTCTAATTCAACTGGGACTTTGAACCCACCTTTTAAACGAGCCAAATTCACTTCCCGAGTCCCAGTGTCTCTAGGAATCCTTATCATACCAGGTCTCGACTACTTCACCTTTATCCGAAACAAACCTCTTCATAACAGGATTCGGCCAACCTTGATAAGGCCGGCCCATGACAAGATTCTAAACAAACACCTTTGGGCTGAGGATATTTATGAGCTCGGCCCAAAATAACATTTGGGGTCCAAACAGGTACATTTGGATTGCTAGTACATTTTGTGTCTTTGCACATTTATAATCTAAACATACCAAATGTCGATACGTTTATTTTCTAATGTACCATAAGTTTTAAATACATTTTTTTTATATAAATATACGCAAAATGTTAACAAATAAATGAAGTTTTCTAAAACAAGTATTAATGATTTTTTGATGAAGGAGAGACTAATTAAATATAATAACAAAAATAAAAAGTTATCTCATTTTTAGTGATAATAACGAATTAGTTAAGTTAATTTTTTTAATAGAAAAAGCCACGAATTTAAAATTCCTAAATTGTATGAAATTAGTTGTTACCTACTTAAGTGGATATATCCCAGAAGTTTGGATCTTAACATTGCACTGCAATTTGCTCTGAAATTAAAAAAATAAAGAGCTGGTTTTGTTTGCTCATGTGAAATTTTTAGAATTAAAGTTAAATTTCAACGTGTATACTCCACTTTTGGCTTTGTGAGTAAAATAACGATAATATAACTGGATGCTGGAACCTTCTCATCTCTGCTAATCTAAAATTAATTAATTAATCATGTTGATACACAAAATCAATAAGAACTTTGGTATAACAGAAAGTGTCAAGTTTGTGACCTTCGCTATATTGCTCCGGTCACTAGTGTTGATAAATATGTAAATGGATAGAGACAGGAAAACAAATACAAGATGTACGTGGTTCACCTAAATTGGCTACGTCTACGGAGTAGAGGAGTTCTCATTAATTGTGAAGAGTTTACACAAGTACATAGGTTCAATCTCTCCTTTAGTGAGTACTAGTGAATGATTTAGTACAAATGACATTAGGAAATATTGTGGGAAAATGATTTCCTTTAATAAAAGAGAGTTTCTAGCTTTGTTCTGACATTGACACGTGTCGTGTTGTGATTGACCTCTGATGTTGACATGTGTCGCGCTATAATTGGCCTCTGATGTCGACATGTGTCGCGCTGTGATTAGCCTCCTGGTTGGAGGGAAACTCTTGTGGATCCTTGATGGTATAACATTGACCGGTGCTTAGTAGTTTCGGGATTGGTCAAGTATGGTACAAACAAATCACTTGATACTTTTTTTACGATTAAAAGGAAACAACTGGTGGCAAGTCACGGTTATTCACTTTTTTCGAATCCGGAGAGGTTATGGGGAATTTCACCATACCCGTGGCCATAATCAAAGCAGACTCACCAGTTCAAAGCATCGAACCTAAGACTTCACACATTTTTTTGTTTATTAGAGAGTCGCAGTCCACTTGCTATAGATTAACTAATGTCTTTTTTTATAGGCAAAGTACGTACCAAACATATGTATAAAGGTTTCTCTGAAAAAAAAAAAAAAAAAAACATATATATATGGTCAATGGGAAGCAATGGAAGTGGCCCCACGTGATGAGAGGAGGATTATCTTCCCTCTTAAGCTTTCTCTCATTTTCTCTTCTCTTACTTGAAGTCACGTTGATATTTTATATTTATTTTTTTACGAAAACAATAAGATAAAATGAGAGAAAGCTCTCTGTAACCACACATTTTATATTCATTCTTTTACGAAATCAAATGAGTGGTTACAGAATTGCTCATTTGTTTAGCTAATTTAAATCTAAATTATTCTTTTGTTTCATTTTACAAAGAAAAGTTATTTTGTTTTGCTCAATTGTATTCCCAAGATTTTACAGAGCAAGACCTATCAACACTTGTAGATCAACTTGACATTTATATTCGTTCTATGTGTTTGAAAAGTAATTCTTCTCAGTTGCAAAGGATTAATGATTTTGCTTAAAAACGGTGAAAAAGGATTCCATCTAGTATTTCAATATGTATATTTACTTATCGATTTGGGTTTGGTTTTACCAGTTGCAATTGCTTCAGGAGAGAGAGCATTTTCTGCCATAAATATCATTAAAAGTTAATTCCGCAACAAAATGGGGGATCAATGGTTAAGTGGTAGCTTATGGGGGATCAATGGTTAAGTGGTAGCTTAGTTATTTACATTGAGAAATATATTTTTCTTGTATTGGTAAAATCATTTTTCTTAGGCATCTTAAGACAAAATAGTCTCTTAAATTGGCATAACTCCACACTTTGGTCCTTGGGATTGGAAATCGATAAAAAGTGGTCCTTGAGTTTGCCTATCATCAATCATTTTGTTCATTCCGTGAAAAATCTCTTTTAAATAAGGACCAAATGGACAAAAATACACTCAATTTAATAAACAATGATTCAAAATGATTTGATAAAACTTGATGGTATTTTTGTCATTTTGTCTTATTTGATAGAGAGTTTGTGTGAAAGGACCAAATGATTGATAGTGGACAAACTCATGGACCACTTCTATTGAATTTAAATGCCATGAACTAAAATAAAGAGTTATGTCAATCTCATGAACCATTTTAACTAAAAAGCTTTTTTCTTATACGTGCATTTTTTATTTATCTTCTTATATTCATATTTGATTTATTCAATTCAAAATTCAAAATTAAACAAGCATGCATAAGAAGAGAAAATCAGCGAGAGCGAAATAAATTTCTTTCTTTTATGTGTTTTTGTATTTGTTTTTTGTGAAAAGGTTAAGGTATCCTTCAACCTAGAACTCTGACCAACAAAATGGCACCACTGGGGTGTAGCCATGTAGGTCCAGGATTCTTTGGGCGTTTACATATTGGATTTAGTTTTACTAGAAAAAAATTAAGTGCCAATTAGTAGGGCCATGTGGCAATTGCATGTGTTGACTTTAAAAACTATCTAGCCTATGTGGGGCGTAGACCAAGTAATTAATAAGCTAACTATGTCATTTGATTGAATATGGAGCATGCCAACTCGTCGGTCTAGTTTAGCCGAAGAGTAAAATATGTTTTGGTGTGGCATTGGGGGCGCTACTAACTTTTGCGTCTAGCAATTGTGGCCGAGGAATGAACTCGTCTCAGCCTTTTGGGTTCTAGAGCCTGAAGACAAGGTTGCTAGTCTCTTTGAAGTTCACGAATCATCGGCGTCGGGTTTAGCCTCAGTAATTATATTTGTGAGAATATAACTGGTACTAGACTATATGGACGCAAATACTCGAAAGAGATAAATGCCTTGATTGTAAAGGTATCTAAGTTAAAGCTTCTTCCCAAGAAGGTTTCTTGGGTTCTATAGGCGCTGCTCCTTGTTGACATGGCTTGGATCCTTGGTGAAAATTATTCTTCCAAGCTAAATTAGGATGATCTCTCCTCCCAGGATTATAAGTATTTGAGAAGGGGTCATTTCGTTGATGGTTAAACATATTGACTTGATTAGCCGCTTCAACTTCTGGACAAGTACCACTTTGAGGACAAAGATGAGTAGGATGGGTCTGAGTAGCGCAAATCCCACACGGTTCTGCATTCCTTGAAAACATATTCACCACAGCATCCAATTTCCTTGATAATGCAGCCACCTCATTAGATGAACTTACTTCATATGCCGAATTTCGAGTTAACTCTCTACTATCCCATTGAGATGAATTTGCAACAACATTCTCAATGATAGTAGTAGCTTGCTCTGGTTCTTTTCCCAATATATTGCCAGCAACTGCAGCATCCAATCTATGTCGGCATTCATCACTCAAGTGTTGGTAGAAGTATAAAATTAGTTGTCATGGTAAAAACTGACGGTGTGGACAACTAATTATCAAAGCTTTAAATCTCTACCAGGCTTGAAAAAGTGGTTCTCCCTTGTTCTGCCTAAAGTGAAATATGTGATCCCTCAACCTCTGAGTCCTAAATTGAGTGTAAAACTTTTGAATGAACTTACTAGAAAGTTGAGTCCAAGAGGTAATTGATCTCGCTGGCAGAGTTTTGAACCAGGTTCTAGCATCTCCCATGAGAGAAAACGGGAAAAGCTTTAGGCGAATGAACTCATCGGAGACGCCTTTAATATTATGTGTCCCACAGATATCCAGAAAATTATCTACATGTTCACTAGCATCTTGATTCTCATCCCCAGAAAACTTGGGCAACATGTTAATAAAATAATCTTTGATCTCATAAGAAGAAGTAGCATCAAGTTCAGGATAAACTATGCATGATTGTCGTGAAGAAAATTGCGGAATAGAGAAATCTTGAATGGTTCGAGGTGCACCATCGTTATTGCCGTTCGCAACCATCTCTTCTTGTTCTTGCTCCTCCTTTGCCTTCTCTTCTCTTTGTTCCTTGCGAATTTGCCTAAGCTTTCATTCAATCTCTGGTTCGAATCTTACAAGCTACCCTTCTGAGGAATGAGTATCGATCATTCACCTACAAAGTACCAAGGACTGATTTCAGTAATATGCTTGCAGAGGTGTCTCAAAGAATCTGATGATGGGTAATTGTAGAAACAGAATTCCAATTGGAAGACTAAAAGACTCGGGGGTATAGGAAAACTAAAAGCCAAAAGAAGAAAGTATCTACTGGACAATGATAACCAAACACTAATAGTCAAACAAGGAAAAATCTAATGACAATTAAAAATTTATGCAATCAGAGATTTTTATTTTTTATTTTATTTTTCGGAATATGAAAACAAAAACAAGATAACGAACAGAAACAGAGGTAAAAATAAACTAAAAGAAAAAAATTTTAAAAAAATTAATTAAGTAAAGTGTAATCAACAAGCCGAGTTGGGATTAAGGGGCAATCCCCGGCAACAGCGCCAAAAACTTGATGTATATTTAAACTAACCTAAATAATAGATTAATCTAAACCAAATTAAACTCGTAAGCGCACGAATCAATTGTAGAAATAAACGCAAATACGAGGTCGATCCCACATAGATTGCTTTTAATACCAATTCAACCAATTGATTACGTGAAACTTAACTTAACTAGGAAACGAATGATTGATTAATTGATTATGAAAAAATAATTAAAACTTCAACTTCAAATTAGACTAAGAATACGAATAACGAAAACACGCAACAAATGAAAGTTTAAAAGAAATTAATGTGATGAAAGCCTAAGGTCATGAATCCACCAATAACAATGGCATGTAATCAGACAATAATCAACAAGATACTTCGGAAATAATCATGTCATGGCTTCATCATAAACCTTAGAAAAATAGTTTAGTTACACATAGTCATAATAAAAATCACAAAAGAAATCATGGAAAAAGATAAAACCCCGGAAAAAATGGTAAGAACACGCTAAACGGCCCTCCTTCACTTTGGACGAATTTTCTTGTGTGTATTTCGTTCCCCTCTCAAGATAGCCTTTGGTACTCTATTTATTCCAATAAAATCCTAAAAAGTCTGATAAAAACTATCCTAAAGGAAAACAAACTCCAAAGTAATTAATGAAACAAACTAGGAAAGAGTCCTTCTTGACTTGGGAAACACGGCATCTGTCTTGCACGCCAGATTTGGGGTCGATTTATCTCCTGGAAAATTCTGTAAAAATATGGGAAATGTAGCTTGATCTCTTATCTTTTCAAGCATATGTCTCACGCCACTAGGAAAAATCGGGAAAGCCTTCAAATCTTCATTATCCCACAGCTGCGCAGCTCTGACGGGAAAGTTACTTATGCGGGATTGATTTGTAAAATTGGAACGTTTGACTCCATGAAAAATTACGAAATTTGGACACAATGATCTTCCACCTCTTAGCTTCCTTCTACAATTGGCCTTGCATCAAAAATCCACCGGAAAGTCGAATTATCATCAAAAACGTCTTGCATGCGCAGATTGGCTGAAACAGAGAAAATGAAAGTAATAAGGTTCTTTTAAGACCAATTCCTTAACAAAACTTAGGGAGAATTAACCTGAAAATGTGATAAATAATGCACCTATCATTGGTCCACTCAGTACCTATAACATGTTCAAATTTCAGAAAAATTCAACAATGCGATCATCAATAGCAGATGTTTGAAACACCAACCCAGTTTTCAATTCTGCAAAAATCTGGACAGTCATCTTATGAGTGCCAAAACCCCATTTTAGCATTCATATAGAAATGATATTTTCACAAAAGTTATTCGTTATCCTCTCATCCACATCATACTAAAATTTCAGTCAGATCCAACAATTTGATCTTCCTATAATTGTCAAACACTACTGTTGATACATGACCATGATTAGAAAGAAAAAGGGAAGTGTAGTAAGTTAATATTTACTTTTTCCTTATCATTATTAATCTTGTTATTAATGTGACTGGTGCGGTATAATCGACCATCATACACCATATATATTGTAGTATGAATGGTACGGATTGATCACCCTCACCCTTACTTATGTTATATATATTTGTGAATGGTGCGACACTATCACCCTTCTTACAATAACAATTAGGGAAATTTTATTTGAACCCATATAACATCTTTCTACACCCAACTTATTCTTTACACCCATATAGTTTTTAATTAAATTATCAATATCTCTTTAAATCCAATTTTACTACCTAAACTACCCTCACAAACCTAATATAATATGCAAATTTATCTTTACACCCATTTTAAAATAAAAATCCAGAATCAGTGTTCTACAACTTGTTTTCCACAACTCGTTGATTGAGAGTGTAATGTCCATACATATATGGAGTCGTGTTTGATGAATTGGTCAAACAAGCAATCTGGAATCGGGAAGTTATGTGAGTAGACAAGATTAGATGAAGTAATTAACTCATATGTTACGATGTTTTTGTGCTTATTTGAGATTGAAATGTTAAACCAATATGCTTATTTCTCTTACAACAGAAATCGAGTTGGTTTTAATCCTTGTGTGCTTTATCTGAATTGCATTCCCGTTGTTTTTATCCCATCGCCGCTTCATAAACAAATGCAGTAGTGTTTTTCAAATGCTTTAATCTCAAGTTTTTACCTTGGTTTTAAGATTAGGTGTATTGGGTGGTGGAGTTGTAATCCATATTCTTAGGCATCACTTGGGTTTTAGCCACAGTAATTCAAATCTGCATGAATTATAGGACTCAAAATCATTTTATACATACACATACACTAGTAATAATAATTAACTTAGGCCCTCAGTTGTCATTGGAACCGGAGGTGGGTATATTGATTAGTGGGTTTATTGATAAATTTTAGTTTGATTTCTGGTTTCATCTTGTATTTGGTAATTATACAATAGGGTAAAACTGACCATTCACATTTTAAATTTAAGTTAGGTGTAGAGTGAGGTTATATGGGTTCAAATAAAATTTCTCTAACAATTATTGTCTTTAAGTTTTGATATTTATGTGAATAGTGCTGAATAAAATCCGTGTCACAATCATTACTTATCTAAAGCAATTTATGTGTACTTAATTTTTATGATGAGTATATATAGGATCTGAAGTTCCTTGATCTTTATCATATAAAAAGATTGGACCTGAAGTTCCACCATATAAAAAGATCGAACCTGAAGTTCCTTGATCCTCATCATAGATCGGACCTGAAGTTCCTTGATCAAAATAAAACCTAAAGTTTTGAATCAATTGAGAGAACAACAGTTCCTCAACTTAATTGAAATCACGGTCATAAGCACCTCAATCCACAGACTATTAAATGAGAACCAGAAGTTCCTTGATTCATGTAAATGAGAACCATAAACTCCTTAATCCATGTACAGATTAAGTATGAGCATGAATTCCAAAATGTGAACCTAAAGGTTCTAATGGTGTCGATATCGAGAATAAATTTCTAGTACATATGAATAATGTTTTGGCCTGAAGTTCAAAATATAAATAATGTTAATAACTTGAAGTTCTAACACTTTTGTGTGGACGTGTTTATATGGTATGAATTAAGCAAGTTTTGTCATAACTGAATTTCTTTCTTTCGGGAGTAAGAATATGGTGAACTTAGCAAAACTCGATGTTGTTACCATGGACATTTTATACAAGAGATAATTTCATGAATTCATAATGCCCGAGAATTCATGTGGAAGAATATGATATTAGAAAACATCTTTGCTTAAAAGCTCATTGAATCATATTCATGGAACCAGAAGTTTCCATCGTTTCTTCATTGATTCATATTAATGGAACCAAAAGTTTCCACAGTTTCCTATATCTAACAAACTGAACCAGAAGTTTCAGACATGTAAAAGACCATAACAGAGGGAACTTTTCTATACATACGCGTGCATACACATGAATTACAACTACAACAATAAAATAAAAAAAAGAACAAAAAAGGTGAGCTTTCGCAAAGGTTGCTCATGTGAAGCCTCCGTACTTGGCAGAACCCCAGAAGGGGGAGGCACCCGAAGATTGATCATGTGAAGCCTCAGTACTTGCGGAACTCCATAAGGTGGAGGCACCGGAGATTGATCATTTGAAGCCTCAGTACTTGGAAGAACTCCAAATAGTGGAGGCAATGGGTGCCTTCAGAATAAAGCCACAAACATCTGATGGTACCCTTGAATCTGATGGACAACAAATCTATGGAGGTATTTCTTCTTGTAGGAAATTTCGCTCCAACATATGTTCAATGAACTTATCTAAGCTAGAGAACACAAAATTCCCCTGTTGCCAACATCTATATAAACTTTGCTGTCAATTAAGAAACAGTCTTCTAATACAGAAATATCATCTTTAAATGATACTCAACTCTAAATGATACTTAACTAGGCTCCTAATTTGTCTCGTGTTATATTGGGGAGAGGGGAAGGTAATTCAAACTCGGAATTTTTTTTTTGGTGGACGACTCCTACTGCAATGATCACTTCCATCATTTCTTTGCAGCTGTCTTTGCAGCTGCACTCACTCAGCTTACACAAAATTGAAAACAGAACGACCGTCTTCAA